CACACACACACACACACACACACACACACCGCACAAAGATAACACAGCGTAATGTGTATGTAATTACAACATTCCTCCATGATGAGCCCAAGTCGCTCGCCAACAGAAACGTGCTATTAGTCTCACAGGCAATTAGAGGCAGGACTAAGGGTGGGGCTCCCTGTGTGTGTGTGTGTGTGTGTGTGTGTGTGTGTGTGTGTGTGTGCACATATACCGCCAGCTTCCTGTAAAAACAACCACTCCAGCTGCGGTGACGTTGTGTGTTTGTGTTGGTGTATGCGACCGTCTCTATTCCCCGTCTCTCTCGCTCCAGGACCAAATCTGTTTCATGTGTTATCATTTAACAAGTCCTCCGACAGCTAGCCCTCTCACAAGCCTCCGTCTCCTGTCGCTGGTGTTGAGACGTGAGTGATGTGAAGAGAGCTCACCAGGAAATTAGCTTCACTTTTAATGGCTCTTCACTACAACTTTGTTTTTTTTTGTACTCCCTCCTGTTTCAAGCAAAAAAAAATGATTGAAGCACTTAATCTGAATATTTTAACACCTGCTCATTTATCTTTTACCATTATGGCAACTGAAACTTTTAAAATAGAAATCAGTCGGGCGTTACCTGCTCGAGTTCGTCGTGCTGAGATCACACTCACTACAGGAGGTGTGAAATCACAACAGATTTTAAAATCAGGACGCAAATGAAGACAAACTTCACAGATAATATTTTCTCTTATTTCAGATATACACACACTAATAAACTGAAAATGAATGCATCACACGCTAAAGGGAATCATTAGGATTACAAACAGTTTGTTGGGAATCTTTTAAAGCAAAAAAGGGAGATTCAACATAAATACAAGCGCTCAGCATTTACTGTAGGAAGCAAATGCTGTTTTTAACGAGCATGCACTTTGAATTCAAGCCATCGTCTTTCTTGGGTTCATGCTGTCTTTGTTTACAGCATTGTTTACTGTATTGTTGGTCTCAGACTAAGCTCGGCTATTCACAAATGTCACGTGTTCAACAGGTTTGGAACGAGGCCCTCGCAGCTCAATGCAGCAGACGAAACACAATCGATTAGGAAAAGCTCTTTGGACAGGTTGACACAGCAACAGATAAACAGAGAAAACACAATTAAATACAGAAACACTGCAAATGCTTCCAGGGTGCTGAAGAGCGATGAACACGGCTGTTTGTTGGTGGCTCATGTTAGTCGACTACCAGTGGTGGAAAATGAGTCAATACTTCTGTATTTCTTATTTTTTTCCCCCCTTAATTAGTGAAGAACGATCTCAGCTATCACGTCCCAGCTAAATAAATCCCTTCCTACTGCCCCTCCAAACATCTCATAGGCAGCATGTACAGTGCTTCTATAGTCGGTAGAATTTCTGTGTCCGGCGTTATCACCTGTGTTGTCAAAGATGTTCTCCTAATTTGCTCGTTTTTTCATATTCAAAAGTCTGATGCATGATGGGACTGTTCAGGGAATTAATTGCTGCTTTTCATCATCTTCATTTTACTTGGTGATTGACTACAGTTCCCAGAATGCCCTGGGGACTGTAAGCAGTGCTGTAGCCTGTGGGTCTACAACTAAACCTCTTCACATCTGCAAGGTCCAAAGTGACCCGTTCGAGAAAGTTCTGAGCAACTAAGCATCGCGCATAATGCTATAAATGTTTAAACTCAACATGCTGCACAGTTCAGCTGCTCGGTTTATTTTACATAAACCATGGACCAAAGTGTACTGGATTCACATTGTGCACCACAGTGGTTAAAACAGACAAACGTAAAAACTGTTATTAGTCCACAGCTATCCACTAACCAAAGGAATCCAACGGGCTTTTCATTCAGTTATTTAGACATAAAAGCAGTTTTTATCCCACTGCCATAACTCTTATGAACAGCTGAGCCATTCTCAGCCAAAACGGTTATTGGCACCAATGTACATAAATATTTTCTGCTCAGATGTGTAAATGTTGGAATATGTTTGTTGTCTTATTTTCTTTTTTATTATTATTATTATTATTATTTATTTTACTTTATTTTCCTATTTCTATTATTCCTGCTCATTCCCGGAGCGACACCAACAGCCGAAACCAAACTCCTTGTGTGTTGTGTTCGTACTTGGCCATGAAAGCTGATTCTGATGTGAAGTTGTGAATTGTGTGAAGTTCATTGGTCACTGTCTGCTCATTTCATTCCTCACAGAAAAACAAAACTTCCTTTGATATGAAAGCTACTCTGGTTTCCTGTTTGTCTTAGTTTTCCTGCCAACCAAATGGAACTGTCACCACCACAGTCTGTGCAGTACAGCAAGCACTTCCCATTTGGAGGCCATTTGGGTTCATCGTGTGTCTTTTGCTGGTGGTAGAACGAGCAGTTATTGGCTATCATCTGGTCAGTCATCCACACTTGTACCTATCATCCTAATGGTGGTATGTATGGAAGGTTGTGCTGCAGGAGAGTCACACTTTAACAGTATCTGAATGACGGTCAGAGGTTTTAGAAAGCTGTAAATGCTGCAGTACGTTCTCCAGTGTCACAGAAGTAAGTAGAAGTGGTTGGTACCATTTGGCCATTTAGACACCAGAGACTGTAAAGCCCCCATAAAGGTATAAAATCCAGAGCTTCATATAGGTGGTGTTGTTTGTTTGTGTGTGGTGGCTTAGTTACTGTTATTCAAATATGACTTATAGACAAGGACAAAAACGACTCATTCTGAGCTGATGAGTGCGGGACAGCAGTAGTCACGCCAACGCCACCAGCTCAGCTCAGCTCTGGACCCACTGTGACCGTAGAATAAACTGTAAGGTTTAGTTTAACCTGAAACAACGACAACTAAACAGTCCACTGCCAAAAGTCTAGAAAAAGGCCAGAACTGAATTTGTTCTTCCTGTGCCCACCTCAGCCTCTTCACCAAGTTTCACTAATGCCTCTTGAATCAAGACACTTCAAGACTTTCACCTGAAGCAGTACTCGAGGTTTTCCTGATGAGAACAGAAGGACTGGTGATAATACAGACTTAGAAAGGCCGTCTCATCGTAGACATATTTCTATCACTTGTGTTCAGTCAACATGCATACCGAGCATCTCTAACGTACACAAAAAAGAAAAAATGAAGGCTGATGATTCATAGCTCATAATCAGGAAGTGAGGACAGCCACTCAGGAGCGTTGTGGCCTCCTAACCCTCAGATTTCACCTTGATTTTTTTTCTATACTCAGTGAAGAAGGATGTGTACATCCAGCACAATGTACTCCTGTCCTTCATTAGCTCCCTGCTACATCTTATGCTTCAAGCTTATTTATTAGTCTTTCAGGTAAATCTGTTTCTCTCGTCTTCTACGCACGCTGATGACTTTACATATCCATGTCAGACTTCCTCACAGGCTTCCTCTGTGGTAGTTATTACCTGTGTTTCAGGTATGATGGGAGCATCCTCAGGTGAACTTCTGTAGAACGTAGACAGAGGGGAAGCAACGATGACAGGACTGGGTCTGATGAAGCCGCTCAGGTCACAGCTGGGGATGTCGTTCTCCTCCTGAAATAGTCAGACAGAACACGTCAGTCGCTCTCATCCACTGAGTCATCAGCTGACTGACTGAGAAACAGAGACTCCATGAAGGCCAGTTCAAGAGCACACGTAACAACAA